CAAGAGGAACATCCAGCTGCACTTTTGCTTTCTAAGCTACCTGCCAAATCCTAAACTTCAAAGACAGAGACGGGAAAGGCAGAACTGAAAACACAAAAATAGATGTAAAAGCACTATGTTCAAGTTTTCCCTTCTGTTTCATTTTTTCTTTTCTTCTCCCAAACCAAGGTCTGTTCACTGAGGTGTGCTCCCCTTTGCATCTATATATCTCTTTTGTCCCTTTTCTGCATTGCTGAGGCTCAGAATGTTCTGCAGCAGCTAGGAGTTAATCTGATCACCAACCCAAAGAGTTCCTTTGTAATACTGCCTGTTTACAGGCTTGGTGGGAAAGAGGTGAAGGAATTTCCAGGGACTGGTTTAATTAATTAACAGCAGAACAGAAACAAAATTCATTCCCTTTGCGTGAACAGACCCCCTGAAGGTTATTTTGCTGTGCAGCTTGGGGCTTCTCTTTTATGTCTGGGTGATAGGGTCAAGGATTTTGATTCCTGATTGTTTCTCAAAATTTGTTCTTAGTCACATTAGGTCCTTATGCTTTGATCTTTCATTCTGCTCTTCCCTACCACCCCCTCAACACACGCTCCCCTGAGGACACTCAGCTGGTATTCTTTTGCAAATTTCAGAACAAGCTAAACTATATTAAAACTGTGTACTAGGTTTTGACGTAGGTGCCTCACGATTTGAGCAGAGTTTGCTATTTCCGAGATTTTAAGTATACAAATATCTGTCGCTATGTAAAAATACAACACTTTAAGTCTTCGCACCACAACAGAGTATATATTTTTTAAGGTTGCCTTAAAACATGTTAAAAATCGCTGCTTCCCTCACTTTGAAAAGTACCCCAAAATGTCTTCATCCTTTATCCCCAGGCACAGAGCTACAGTCGTTTCTGAAATCTGCCCCTCTGTGTCAGCCCTTAATGCCAACATGGAGTCCATGCCTAAAATAGTTTATGGAAGCAGGCCCTTTCCTGCCAAGGTCTCCCCCACCTGAGGTGGCTAAACAGTAATCCTGTTGTGAATATTAATCTTTGTACTTTCAACACTTCATGGGAAGGACGTCCTGAGCACTTAATGTAGGTCAGAGGCCATGTGTACTATTAACCTGATGTCTGTTAACCCATTGAGCCTTCCAACAGCTGTATGAGAAGGGTGTATGAGCCCCGTTTTAAAATTCTGAGCCTGAGACACAGAGGAGTTAAAACCCCTGGTACATCAGGAAGTTCTTTGGAGCCCAGAGATCATGGTGCAGCAGTAATTCCTTGCCTCAACTCTGTCCTCCCAGGTGATGGGGAAAAGCTGATCACCATCTCTCCATTTTCAGATCACAAAGGTATCAATGTTTAAAACACAGAATGGCAGCTCTATCACCTTGACCTCTCAATTTTAGGAAGATGCAAAGTGATCCTTTTCCTAATCGGTTTTGGAACTGACTTCGGAGGGCTCACTAAAACCCGAACACCGGTCCCACTAGGCTTAAACCGCTGGGTCGGGGTGTAGCTAATTCTCCAGGCTTGCATGTTTGCATTGAGAGAAGAGAAGATGCCAACAATTCTCCTAAGGCAACTCGGGGCCATGTCACCCTTGCCTCTGTGGTTTTCGTTAGTTTGTTTTTCTTTTTCCTCTTATTTACAGACTTCTTCCAATGCCAGGTGTTGTGATAAGCCCCTTGCACACATTTTCTCACTTAAGCCTTGCATCTAACTCATGAGCCAATGCCATTGGAATCCCTGTTAAACAGATGGCAAAACTGAAGCTCAGGGATATTCAAGAACTTAACCAAAACTCGCCCAGTGGTCATTGAAAGAGATAGGGCTTCAACCCAGATCTACCTGCCTTTAAGTCACGTCCAAAATTTAACCACAATACTGTGCTGTCCCCAACACACATACAGCCTACTTGGTGTTCTCACCGGTTTGTGGCATCAGGCTGCATAGGTCCTGAAGGTGCCTTTCCTTCCTACCCCAAGGCACAGAGAGGGTCACTTTGAGAATCACAGGTTCTGTGCTGGCTTCTGCCCCGGGGACCACATGCCTACTCTTGTCTGCTCAGCCATCCTCACAACTCTTCTCAGGAGGCACCCTGTGGCGATCCCTGGGGTGTCCATTGGGCTGAAAGGAGCTGCCTTACTTTGTCAGGCTCTGCCTCACCACCCTCGAGGAGCACACCTGAGTGCTGAATTCTGAAGGTGGCATTTCAACTGCTGCTTTTCTAGAAACTCATCTTTAAAAAAAAAAAAATCCTTTTAGGCTGCGGAGGAATGCAGAATGGTAATCAGGTCATGCTAACTGGGACAAAGGTTGAATTAAAGAAGTTGAAGAAGTGAGTAGAAAGGAGAGGTCTCAGCCAGCCTCCCAGCATTGCCTGGCTGCCCCCAGGGCTAAACCCCGAGAGAAAACAAAGAGAGCCAACCCCTCCCACCTTTCAGCAGCTTAGAAAATCTCAAGTGTTGCTGCAGTGGGAAGAGTCGGAACATGCTATCTAGAAAGCCCTCGCTGACCTGTGAAAATGTTTGAGAACCTACGAAATCCCAAGTCTAGAATCATCTCCTATCCTATGTTCCCAGCCTGCCTTTAGAGGATTTGGGAAAGCCAGCCCATGAGTGGCAGGACCCTTCCATGCTTTGGGGTGCCTTTTCTCATCATTTCCCTCTGGTCTACATCTAAGCCCTGAAAATACTCCTGTGACCGCACACAGTAGGCGATCAGCGGTTTCCTGTCAAATATTTTCTCTGCCGTGATTCCGGACTTTGGGGCATTCCTTAGATTAGGTTACCTCAGGTTGTTTCCACAGGTTTATTTGTCTGGCCTTCTGAATGCTTTCCTGCTTTATTATCATTTTTATGTAATTGTTAAATGGCAATTATTGCCCATCTTCACAGAGCTTTAGAAGGTTCTAAGTTCAAACAGTGACCCTGAGACCACTGAAGAGTTTTATTGGTAGAAGCACCATCTTCTATGTTTCAGAACTTCTTTCTCTGTCTTCTGGGCTTTTTAGCCAACGATGTGAGGACCTCTTGGAAGTGTCTTCCACAAGAAGTACCCCTCTTCGGGGCTTATGGCTGCGGAGTATGGAGAAGCAGATAAGACTAGGTTCGGCAGCCAAGAGAGAGGTTGGCACCCACCCTGCCAACTGCAAGCAGTCACAACCCCCTCCCTCCCTCCTCCTTCCTTGAACTCCTTCTTTTTCTCTTCATTTTCTGGCCTTTCTTATTCCCTTTCACCTCCTCCTCCTAATCCCCAGGCTTTCTTTTCTCTCCCCCTTTCTTCCCAGAGTTTTCCTCAGAAATTAAATAAAAACAGCTGAATTCAAAATACCTTTCAGCATGGTATGAGAATCTCAAGCCACCAGACCACAGATGAAAGGTTTGCCTTGGACCTCCTCCCTCCCTTCCGCTTGCTTACAAAATAAAGGAAGCTGCCCCCAGCGCTAAACCCCAAGAGACCTTTTCTCTGAACTTCCAAGCTCCCTCAGAGACCTTCAACGCTGACCTTCAAGCTCCCTCAGAGATGGACATCGCGCCTGTCACCTCATCCTTCTTCCTCATTCCTCATGAAGCCCGAGCCCCATGCCAGCCTACTTTGCTCTGTGTTACATTTCCTTTCCTGTTTCCTTCGAGAATGTGCATTCTGGTGCACGTTCATTGCCTACACCGAGGCGCTCTCGTTCCAGAGGCCGCCTTTGTGGTAGCAAGGTGTCTGGGCTTAGGACTGTTGGAGCTGGGATGCAGAAAGGGCTCCATCTGGGGTCACCTTCACCATTGGAACCAGCTGATCCCACTCTAGCTTCCAGCTTCTGTCACCCCCACCCAGTCACGAAAGTCACTGCTATGACCACACCCCATGACTTCCATCCATGAGTGGGAGGTAGCTAAGCGGATGTCAACCTACCATGTCCCATCCTAAGAAAAGAGACCCTCCAAGAGAAAGTATGGGTTTTGGTTTGGTTTGGTTCCGTTTGGGTCTAACTAGAAAGGTAAAATGAGCTCCCACGTTAGTACGCTGCTAGAGAATCCAGCCAACACAAATCCCTACTGAGAACATTGTAGAGCTTGTGGTGCACTGAAGGGCTCATCCTATGTGAATCTAGGCAAGAACCAGTCCGTTTAAAATGAGGCTCCTTTGTACCTTGAATGTTCCTGGGTGGGGGAGGGGAGGTGCAGAGGGGATCAAGGATTAAAAAAGAAAGCAAAATGGGCTATGTTTCACTAATTTCTACATTTTTGCATGCTTTTTATTTTCCTGTGCTTGTTGCATGCATGTAACCATTAATTATGTCAATAATGGAGAAGAAATTAAGTGTCTTACTTGTGGTATAGCTGTTTGAAATGATGATTTTGAGAATTTGGAGTATTTTTCCAGCACCTTCCCCTAAGTGGCTCATCACCAACAGACTTTACTTGCTGTGCTCAGTTGATCATTCTTTGCCCTAAATCGCCAGGTGGAAGCAGATGCCTCCTTGATGCTTTAATTGCCGCTGACTCAGCTATTCGGAGAGCTGGGATGCATCCTCCCAGCTCGTTTAGAAACTTCAGTGTTGATTAAGATAGATGTTTGGAAACCGAAGTCAACTCAAAGGACCCCTGGGCTTGGCTTTCCATGGTCGAAAGCCAGTTCTGGGATGGACATTTAATTCCAGAGAAACGGCTGTCTCCAGAGCAGCACCGTATCTTTAGACATGTTTTGGATCTCAGCAGGAGAGGGGGCTTTAGTGATGACTAGCGCCTTCCTTTATTTTGTAAGCAAGCGGGAGGGAGGGAGGAGGTCCAAGGCAAACCTTTCATCTGTGGTCTGGTGGCTTGAGATTCTCAACAGAGATTTGGGCTAAAGAATCCACAAAGGTAAGAACGTACCCCTTGTGCAGGGCACAGGGTGTTTGGGTTGAGCAGAAAGTTGTGCAAGCCACGTGCCTGTTGGGCCAGTGCCTCGCATTTTCCGAGAGCCCCTCTCTTTATCGTCCTCCTCATTGTGTCTCCTTTTCCACTGCTTTCTCTTGCTTCAGGGAGGTTCAGAGAAAAGGCTTCTATTCTCCATAAGATTGCCAAGAAGAAATGCCAGGTGGATGAGAACGAGAGGCAGAACGGGGCTGCCAATCACGTGGGTGAGTGCAGAGAAACTTGCATCCATCCCATGCCTTTCCCGGAGCACTCGGAGGGGCGTGGGGAGGCAGGACCCAGCGTGGGCCCCTTGACTCGGTGCAGACCCGCAACCCTGCGGCTCAGCCCGTTCCTGGGTTTCCGCAAGAGCCCATTTTCCCTGGGGGGCACAGGGCATAAATGGATACACTATGTCACCTACTCTAGGGGAACTCCAAGAAGAGTAAAATGATTCTCTGAGGAACCTAAAGTAAAACCAGCTTCTAACCAGGCATTTCCCTTGAAGAGTAGAAAATCATTTCATTTCAGGAATTCTACAGAAGGACGACCCACACATACACCTGTCTTTTTTAATGTTTAACAAAATGTGAGAGTATCCTTTCTGAGATTCTTGCCTGGTAACCAGATACTGACATGCTATACTTGGGACATGGCCCATGCCACACCCACTAAGTTACCAGACAGTTCACTTGGTCACTCCTGAACTGAGTGACGGGGTCCTTGCGAGGTGACACCACCTCTCCTTTCTCAAGAATTCAGCAATAGCAGCCCAGGTCTCTTTGGGCTGACTTTTTCTGAGTTCCCGTGTGAACCAGATCGTGACATTCAGACATCTTATTTTAACTCGGAACATGATGTTCCTCCTCTCCTGTCTGCAACTATAATATAACCCACTAATCCTAAATTCAGACTAAATTTAACCTAATCTGGATCTCTGCTACAAACGATGCCGTTGCCCAAGAAACTGCAATGATCTGCAGACAAAATGCTGCAGCGTTGCACTCAAAATACGGGACACTCCTTAGGAGAGTTTCTGCCTCTCCTGTTAGCCTGACTTCTGGCTCCCGGACAACCTTTGGCCAAGGAACAGTCAAGATTCTATTGGGTATGAAAAGAAAAACCTGAGGGGAATAAGCTGAGATGTTAAATATTGTGTGCAGGGGCTGTTTCTTCTCATCAGTTCACCTCTGTTCTCGAACATCTTAATTCCACTTTGGGACCTGATCATCCTGTGTTGGTAGGGTCAGGTTTGGCCATCGTGGGCTGATCTCAATGTTGTCTCACTTCAGCCAGTAGACACCCCAAAACCCAGTTTTAATATCTCCCCAGGTACTTGGTGTTTGGTATTTTTCATGACTGGACCAAGCGTATTAGGAATAGTTGGTAGAGCCACATAAAGCAGAACACCACATACATGACACTGCTGCTGTGAAAAACATGGAAAGATAAAATACATTTGAGCTTCTGTGGCTTTTTGTATTTAAATATACTTATGCATCTGTATCCCACCACTAAATACATGAGTAAACAGAAACATTTCCCTGTGATTTCCAAAATGTGGCCACTTCAAGCCCAATCATTTTTATGTAACTCTCAAAATATTTTCCAGTGATAAAAATGTGTCGTCCTTTGGAAGTTACTAGAAACAAACATTCTGACACTCTATGAGTGGCCCAATACAGCTCGTATCTGAGACCAAGGAGCATGACGATGCCCTCGGCAGGCCTGACACAGACCCCCACGGCTTCATTGTCTCCTGAAATCCAAGAAGATTGGGACATGGCCCATGCCACACCCACTAAGTTACCAGACAGTTCACTTGGTCACTCCTAAACTGAGTGGCGGGGTCCCAGCAGAGCCAGAAGGTCTAAGCACCTTTCTATTTTGCTCCCACTGAAGTCGTGGCAGACCTTGGTGGTGCTGATCACTGATCACGTGAGGTGCTCCTCTGAGCCCCCAAAAGAAATCGTCTAGTGCCAGGCAGTGACTATAATAATGATCAGAATAGTTTGTTGCTTGCTTGTTTGCTCTGTCCCAGCTCTGTGCCACGTGCTTTATATGCATGTTCTTATTTCGCAGGCATACCCTTTGATTGTATCGTTGTTAGTGGTATTAGCACATCACCCCATTTTCACAGATGAGGAAGCTAAATCTCAGAGAAGTTAAATTACTTGCTAGGCGTCCCACAGCATAAGCAGTAGAACCACAGTATGAGCCCAGGCTGGTCTGGGATGCCCAGTGTCAGAGAGTCCCAGGGCTTCACCATGACCCTGGAGGCACTTCTAACTCCCAGAGAAAAACTGGAATTTGTACCTGCTGACCTGTGGCTTCATGCTAGGCAGATGTTATCTCGCACTTAGGAATGACAGATGTTTCCCTCTGTTACTTGTTCAGCTTCCCCTCGCCTTGCTTGCCATAGGATGCCCAGGTGTAGAATGTGCAGAAGAGCATTCTCCAGGCATTTTGAGAAGGCCAGGCTCTAGAGCCTGCCCCCACCACCCAGACATTGGCAGGCTTGTGCACGCAACGCACCTAGAGAATTAGGGCTGGAAGCAGTGGGCCTTAAGGTCAACCAGTTGAACCCCCTCATTTCACAGATAAGGTTCCTGAAACCCACAGAAAGGAGATTTGCCTGAAGTGACAGCCTGATAATGGCAGAGCAAAGTCTTGGACCCAAGTCTCCTGGGTCCCTAGCCAATAAATATCCTTTCCAGAATGTTGTATAAAAGAAAAGATCCTGCTGTAAAAAAAAAAAAAAAAAAAAAAAATCCAAGGGGTGTGGTCCTGGATATAATATTAGTGTACAGATTGAGCATGGTTTTGGTGAAAAAATGTTTGTGGTCATGTTCTTGAATGGCTACTTGGTGACTTTGCCTGGCATAGAGAATGTGCGCCAGGGGAGCTGAATGGGGACTCAAGATATCAGCCCAGAGTGAGAGAGCCAGAGAGCTATTAAAGAGAGGAGGAGGACTGAAAACGCTGAGAGGTATTGGGAAGAATGCTAAAAATCCTTTGCCATTTGGCACCACCCCAGCCCTGGGCCTTAACCCCTCTGAGACCACTGTCTTCTTTGGCCCAACATTTTAGGACATTCCTTCCAACATGGCTCTTACCCCCATTGACTCCATTTGCTTTCTCTGTGTGTATCTACATTGTACCACAGAAAAAATCGAGCTCCCAAACAGCACCAGCACGGAGGTTGAAATGACACCACCCAGTGATGCTTCGGAACCCGTACAAAATGGAAATCTCTCCCACACCATCGAAGCTGCGGAAGCCCAGGTATGGCTTTTCCCCCTTGTTCTTGATGTCCTAACACAGCTTCCCTTCTCCTCGGAGACCCACGCTCCCAGGCAGGGCAGACATGGGGGAGAGTGGGTTCTCTTCATGTCTGTTGCTCAGTACCAGCAAAGGCCCCCACGTGTGTCAAGCTCTTTGTGTACTGAATGAATTCACACATTTTCTAAGCCACTGTTTCTCAGAGTGAGATCGGTGGCCTCATCCATTTCATCTCCCCGAGATCAAAATACAGATCCCTGGGCCATACTCCAGACCTGATGAAACAGAATCTTGGGTTAACAGCTTCCAGATATCAACATTTTAAACTCGCTTCCCGGTGATTCTTAGTAAATGATAAAGTTTGATGGCTGTTGCAGTCTAATCCTTTCTCTGTGTCTTTAAGATCAAGGGTAAGTAACCAAGAAACTACAGCCATCACACCCTGGTTAACCCCCCTTGGCCTTCCCTGGCTCCGCAATTGAAATTAATCAATACTGTGGCCCATTCTGCCATCCAGTGGTGCAACCAATAGACAACTGTTTGATTTAATAGTTGTAATACTTAACCTTCCACGTGCTCTATGCCACGGACTTGGTACTGGGCACTTTACATATATTGCCTTTAAACCTCACAGCTGAAGGCGTAGGCCTTTCCTTTCTCCATTTTAGAGTTGAGGAAGCTCAAGTGTGACAAGATGAAGTGCTTAATCAGGATTACCTAGCTGGTAGGTAGCAGAGCTGTGATTCAATCCCCGATCCATCTAAATGCAGTGCCTGGACTATTTCCAGCACACAGCACTGCCTCTGGACCACAGCTGCTCACAAAAGGAAGCAGAACCACCCAAAAGTAGGTGATGCTTGCCACATTTCTGGATCTCCTCCTTACCAAGTGTATCAGGATTTCTAAGGCATAGGGCCCCAACTCACATTCTCATCAGGCACCCTCAGTCCATGTTTCTCAAACTCGAATGTGCTTACAAAGCTCCTGGGGGATCATGTTAAAATTCAGAATTGGATATGTCAGGTCTGGAGTGGGTCCCAGAATCTGCAAAGCTAGCGAGCCCCCAGATGGTTCTGCCGCTGCTGGTCCAAGGACCTCACTTTGAATAGCACTGCTGTAAAGTTTGTGACCTACTTCTCTAGACAGAATTTTCCCAATGAGCTGAAAAGTTACACGTGCCCACAAACAGAAGCCAGACTACAACAAATCTATTCCAGGACCTTCTTCTTCTTTATTCCAGGATACACTCTGCAATGGAGCCTGCACTTCTTAGGGGAAAAAAAAAACATGCTAGTTTTGCCAGTTGCCCTTATTCCCTGAAAGAATAGGCAAGAAAAGTCTCTTCACTTAAAGGAAAGGGTAAAGATATTGAGCACCTTTTCATGTACCTGTTGGTCATTTGCATATCTTCTTTGGAAAAATACCTATTCGGGTATTTTGCCCATATTTTAATCAGGTTATTTTTTTATTTTGCTATTGCGTTGTAGGGGTTCCTTATATAGTTTGGATATTAACCCCTTATCAGATATATGGCTTGGCAAATGTTTTCTCTCATTCCATGGATTGCCTTTCATTTTGACGAGGGTTTCCTTTGCTGTGCTTTTCATATATATACATACATATAAAGATATATATATATATGTATGTATGTATATATATACACCAAATGACTGTGTTGTACACCTTAAATAGATATGATTTGTATTTGTCCATTACACATCAGTAAAGCTGGAAAAGAATTAACGAAAGGAAATGATAAAGAAAGGGAGCTCCTTCTGCCCTGTCTCCTCTGCCTTCTAGGCTCTCGCCCTTCTGCCCAGAGCCCTGTGGTCCCATCACATTAGCTCAAGTGTAAGCTGGCAGAGCCACTTATGTCCACATGGCTAAACAGCATGTGGCAACAGGAGGTGGGCCCCAAGGACATCTGGCTGCCCTTGGGGATGACACAGTCACAGGTGTGCAGAGGGCAGCGTCCTCATCGTGCCTCTCCATCTGGCTGGCAGAGGGACATCTGTGCCCCCCACAAGGGAGGACCTTACTGCAGGGGAGTGAGAGAGCCTCACCTGACCCCTCTCTGAGCAGAGCTGTGCCCCCCTGGTCTCACACAGGGAAACAGGACAGATTTGTGCACCACCTCAAGAGCAAAGAGGAGGCACCCCAAGGAGCCTCGCGCGCTGGCCGCCGGACGGCCTGGTAGGGAATGGTGGATCCACCCGGAGCGAGTTACCTAATCTCGCTTCAGGCTCCCCATTGACAAATTATAGATAATAATGGTGCTGCCCTCGTTTGGGTTATTAGGAGAGTTACATGAGAAAATGTATGGAAAGCACTTAGCACAGAGCTAAATGCTGCTATTTATATTATTCTGTGCCCACACTTACCGTATAAATCCCAGCCAAGGTGTTCCTTCCCTGAAGGAGCTTGTTTAGGTAAAATGAAAATGTAATACATATAGATAGATAGAGATGCTATAGGTGGACACACACACATAAACAGATAAGAAAATACTTATTCATATACATATGTATATATATATATATATATATAATGTCTGGGGGTATTCAGGATATAATAAATAAACAAACATTTGTGGTAAGTAAATAATTATAGCCCAGAGTGACCACGGGGCTCTGTGCAAAGTGCTCTGGGAGCCTGACAGAGGAAGAAGTTGACACAAGAGAAAGTGTAAAGGTAGAGGTAACATTTGACTGGGTGCTGATGGGTGAGTAGGAGTTCGTTGCTCAGAGAAGGAGATGACAAGTGCAAAGGTGTAAAACCTTAAGAAGGAAGTTCATGTTTAGTGGTGGGTGAGAAGGCCAGTGGACCCAGAGACTGAAGCAGAAGGCGAGGAGTGAAGAGAGATCCACTAGGAAAGGTAAACGGGGCTGAAACTCTTCAACTGTTCAATCAGAAAAATTTTAAGTGTTCATCTAATATGTGTCAGGCACCGGGCTGGGCCCTGGAGACACCCACACATTCCAGCCAAGCAAAGAATTTGCAGATACAAACCAAGATATAGATGACCACAAGGGCCAAGAAGGAAATTCAGCATGGTGGTGTGGCGAGGACTTGTGGAGGGCCCTTGTAGGTTGGGAACTGCGGGGAGGCCTCACTAAGGAAGTGGCATTTGAACTGAGGCTGAACTCCAAGGAGGCAGCCAAGGAAACAGCACCCACAGAGGCAGAAACGAGTTAGGCTTCCTCAAGGAACAGAACAGTCAGTGTGGCTGGTGGATGGGGAGCAGAGGGAGGGAGGATGGTGACAATGAGGTGGGACAGGAGGGCCAAGCAGAGCTGGCTCACCTTGTAGACCATGATAAAGAAGTTGACTTCCTTCTAGGGTAGCAACAAGCCACTGGAGGTTCCCGGATATGATCTGTTCTTCTAAAAAATCCCTAGGGCTGCGCTGCCATGTGGAGAGTGAATTTGGGGCAGGGGGGCTGCATACCAATAGCGGGGCAAAGGGGCCACTGTAGGAGTTGAGGTTGAGAGCTGATGGTGGCATGCACCAGTGCAGTAGACCTGAAGGTATGGAAAAATACATGGATCGTGAAGGGCATTGTCGGCTCCACCAAGCAGTCTGGACTTTACCCTGTCAGGAGTGGGGAGCCAAAGAGGGTTTAGAGGAAGCCCTGTCAGTGTCAGATTTGGAAGAGAGGAGCATAGTGCTTTCAGGACGCTCAAGAAGGGCCCAGAGTGAGGGAAGACTAGATGCAGGGCATCAAGGGAAGAGCCTCTCGGCTCAAGGGTCAGCAAACTATGATCCATGGCCAAATCTGGCCTGCAGACTATTTTAATTCAACCCGTGAGACAAGAATGTTTTTACATTTTTAAAGGTTTTAAAAAAAAACACTAGCAGCATATGTGACAGAGACCATATGGACCACAAAGCCTAAAATATTTACTATCTGGCCCTTTACAGGAAAAGGTTTGCCCACCCCTAGACCATCTGCAGTCTTTAAAAAAAAGAGAGAGAGAGAGAAAGAAAGAAAAAGAATAAGGAAGCTCTTCATGTATTGATACGGAATGATCTTCAATATATGTTCAATGAAAAAGGCATACTGCCAAATTGTACCCAGTCTAGGATATTTGTATGAGGGGAGAAAACGGGGGGAAATGACATATATATTTGCTTGGGATGCTACTGAAAAAACTGGTCATGCTGACTACCTCCTGAACCAGGGTCTGGGTGATGGGGAACCAGAGTGGCAAAGGGTCTTTTCAGTATGCAGCTTTCTGTAGCTTTTAAATTTTGAACCAGGTACCTGTATTCCCTATTCCAAAAAATGCAACAACAATAAAAATAATAATGGGTTAAATTAAAACAGAATCAGTATGTTTTAGTGGTTTAAGATCAGAGACTCTGGAGACAGACCACAAGAATCCAAGTCCCAGATCCGCCACTTACCTGCTCTGTGACATTGGCCGCCTTACTTAACCTCTCTGTTCTCCATTTTCCTTCTCTGTGAAACGTGGATAAAATCCTATTTCATAGCATTGCCATGAGAATAGTCTCTTAGAATAGTTCTTGGCACATAGAAAACACTGCCTGGGTGTTTGCTATTATTAGTGGTACTTAGTAAAACTTAAAAAATGGTTATCTATCAAGTAGCCCAGGTGACAAGGCCTTAGACCAAGTATTGGCTGTGACATGGATAGCCAATGGTTGGATCTGAGAGCCGTGTCTGAGGTGGCCTTGAGCAGATCTGGACCTGGAGAGGGAACAGGAAGTGAAGGTGTAGGTGATCCTGAGGTTGCCAGGCTGAGGACACTGGGTGATGGGGTACATTAGGGCTAGGACTCCAGAATCAGAATAAAGATGTGAAATCAGAACACTCAGCCCCTTCCTCCCCCCACCCCCCAAAGCACAGCTTCCCCAGAAATGATTCAGTACCTTTATGGTGTTAGTTTCATCTCTTTCCCAGTTGTATGTTTATCATGCTACATGAAGAAAAAGGTGTGCATCCTGACTTTATTAATGGAAATTCTGAGCCCCATGCAACACACACACATATTGCTGGTATTCTCTGGAGACTTGAGCCTGTCTCATGTAATTAACCTGCTGTCTCAAAATCCCTATTTACAAGGGAACTAATTTAACATTGACACCTCGTCTCTGAGAGCTTTCTCCAGTACAGACTTGACACCGGCAATGAAGAACATTTTAAAATAGTCTCTTTCACAGAGGGAGCCCCTTTGCAGGTTTTTTGCTTCATTGGTACGTTCTCTGGAGAACCAAGAAATAATCTGACTTGTAAACGGCTTAGTGCTAATTATCCCTTCCCAGTGACTGCGGACACAATGCAGTCATTTTAACGCAGAACAGATTCCAGCTGCCACAGAGAAGTCGCCTCCAAATTTGTAGTGTTGGGACTTTATCCAGGTTCGGAAGACAATTGAAAGAAACAGTTCCACCCAGAACCCAGCATTTTCGTACACTTTCCTTCTGCTGATTAGACAACAACCGGGTGATGGCACTTGGGCGGCTTGCTGCATGAAGCTGCCCAACCTCGATGCATCGAGGCGGTCGATGCGAGACACGGCAGAACCCTGTAAATACACATTCACGGTGACAGGGCGGAAGGGGCAATGCCTTGCAAACGTCTTAGATTCTGCCATCTGAAAGTCTGACTTCTTTTTTATTGTGTCCTACGTGTCCATGTATTGGGAACTGGTTTTTTATATGTTGCAGCTTTTATTTCATTTTGCCTCTAAGATTTCG